TCTTTCTCCTATTCTCCTGTCTTTCTAGCCTTTCTTTCTATTCTCTATTATTTCTATCCATCTTTCTATCCTCCTTTCTTTATATCCTCTTTCCTTTCTATCCTTCTCTCCCCCCACCCCCATCCTCTTGCCTGTCTATGCTCCAGCCTGTCCTCTGGCCTCCCTATCCTCCAGCCTCTCTGTCCTCCGGCCTCTCTATCATCCTGCCACTCTATCCTTTTCCTCGTTATCCTCCATCTCTTTCCTTCCTTCCTTCCTTCCTTCCTTCCTTCCTTCCTTCCTTCCTTCCTTCCCTCCCTTTTTGTCTCTAATACAGTGGTCACAGCATCCATAGAGGATTTCATGTCATTGGAGGAAATCTTCATCCTAGAAGTCTTACTACTATATAGTTAGGCTCAGAGTATGTCCTAACTAGAGTAAAGCCCAGTTAGGCTTTGAGTCAGCCTTAGATAGGTTAGGACTTGGGCTTATATGATAAACCCTTTTATCTAGAAAATACCCCAATTCTTACTGCCATCTGTAGCTCCTTAACCCACAGAATCGTCACCCTTTTGCTGAGTCTGTGCAGGGGCTGAGGAAGTGGAGGCCTGGCCTTGTTCTGAGTGATGTAGGAATGTAGGTTCAGGGCATACACAACACCTAAATATCCCATGCCTGGGAATCCTGTGAAGGGCACTGAGGAAGGCTATAGGGTTGAAGCGCTTCCTGAGAGGAGCATGGAATTCATGGAAATGAACCTTCTTTTCAAAGCAACAGAGAAGTGAGCCTTGCTGTGAGCCAGGCAGAAAAGGCTAAAGAAGAAAACTGCTTCAGGGACACAAGTTCAAATGTCACTCTGCTCTTCAGATCAATGCCTTCAGTACTCCTCTTACATTTTTAATCACAGAAACCCACTATGGTGAGTTCATGACATTTGACAATAAGGATCAGGTCTCAACATGCAGAATTTTATCACTGTTATTCTACTGGGCAGAGCATACCATTTTTGTGAACTTGTCTTCACAAGCCATTCTGATTTTCTCCGGTGTCAGTGGGCTATTGAGCATCAGTGGTTCACACAGGCCTCTCTCCTGCCGAGCTGCACTCACTGCATCTTGGATGGCAAAAAAGACAGAGCACCCCAAGAACAGCCCAGACTCTCCCAGACCCTGGAAGGGAATAAAAATCAACTCAGTTATGACTTTAAAAATGCACATACATAGGCATTTATTACATCATAAAAAGAGCCTTGATAACATTAAGCATATAATATCTAACACATAATAAGTATATAAACATGACATAATGTAATACATAATGAATCACCAACATGAAAGTCAGAAGAGACTCTGAAACTTGCTCCTCAATGTGTTGTTGTTGTGAACCATCAAGTGGAAACTAACCCTGCAGTGGGTTCTCAGACGCAGTAAATGCATGGGACATTACTCATCCTCCTTCCGTGGAGCAGCTGGTGGATTCAAACCACATACCTTTGGGACTGCAGTGCAGCTTCTTACCACTAGGCCACCAGAGCTTTCTCTCTCTCTCTCTCTCTCTCTCTCCTCTCTCCTCTCTCCTCTCCCTTTCTCTCTCTCTCTACACACACACACACACACACACACACACACACACACACACACACTGGTGGCCTAGTGGCAAGAAGCTGTGATGCAATCCCAAAGGTACATGGTTCGAGTCCACCAGCTGTTTCACAGGAGAAAGATGAGCAATCTCCTCCCATGTGATTAACTGCCTCTAAAAACTTGTCATAGGGGTGAACTATGGATTAGTTCTTACTTGATGGTATACAACAATACCCAATGATAAATGTGTAATAATATACTGCATAATATATGTTATGCCACAATAATATATAATAATATGCTTAGACTCCTAGCCTGAATAAATTCAAAAGGAAAAAGAGATCTAGACCTCAATGTCACTAGTACTTCATGTTAGCAAGATTTGAAGTATTTTTCTTTTAATTTCTAATATTTTTTAATTGTCTTATAATTAAATGTATAATTAGAACTCTTTGCCTATGATCTTGAGGAAAAAAATATCACCAACCAACTAAGAAATCAATGTAGTTCCCTCTTACATGGATGGCATACATGTGCATTTATTTCTAGAAAACAGCTTACCTTAGATGAATACAGGGTATTGGAGTTTTGAGACGGAGGCAACAAAGAGACGTGCAGCTCTGTGGGGACGTCGCAGATGGTGGGGATTTTGTATTGACTGGGACCACGTGTGTACAGGACGCCTTGAGGAGAATAACTCAGTTCTTCTATTGTATACAGCCCCATGCCTTGAATAAATGCTCCCTCGATCTACAACAAAAAAACAGAACTTCCACAAATGAGAAGACAACCACAGTAGTCACATTTTTACTTCATGCTGCTTGAGTTTAAAAATAGGGTTTTCAGGGTATCCTGGAGCACATGCCTGAAAGTTCACCAAAAAACATCTGTCAACAGTTTACTCAGCACCAAGGTCAGAGTTAAAGGACTTGGGTTCTAATCTCGGTTCTGCTAAAAGGATGGTTCCCGGAGAGGCCTCCAGGGAGCTGCAGCCACACTCTCATTCATTTCTGTCCATGTTAACCACTCGAATGCTGATCAAAGTCTAGCAGTTTGAATCTAGAGAGATCTTGGAACAAAGTGCTGGCGTTTTGCTTCTAAAAGGTCACAGCCTTGAAAATTCTCTGGCGTTGCATCCCATGGGTTATCACGAGCTGGAGGTGACTCAGCAGTAACATGTCTGGGGTGTGGTTTTATGAGGTCACTGCAGCCCAGATGAGTTGACTGCTTTGTCCATGGATGCAGTACACTAATGAAGGTCTTGGGCCTTGGGAATCGGTCACCGCATGAGCCTGCAGGCCTCATATCTCTGGGACCCATTTCTTCGAGTTGAGTGTGTACTCTCTAAGCTTTAACATGTTCTCATCCTTAGCTTCATGCCGGCATGTATTCAACATTGCCTTTCCACACATATTTCTGATATCTGAGTCTCTATTTAGTTTAATTCTTTCCTGTGACCATATTTTGTCCATTTTCATCCTTTGTGTCCATAAACTGAGATCTCTAATATTTTATTTTCTACCATGATTATAGAGCGCTCTGGTTGCCTCACTGAAAGAAGCTGTGCTGCAATCCTGAAGGCAAACAGTTTGAATCCACCAGCTGCTCCGTGGGAGAAGAAGAATGGGCAGTCTCCTCCCATGCAATTAACTGCCTCTGAAAACCCACCAGAGGGTCAAAATGGATCCGTTCTGACTTGATGGTACATAACCACCACCATGAATATTAGATGAATCTTCTTAGAACTCCAAATCACTCCTCAGGTCAAGTCACTTCTGTCAGCTAAGTTAGGTGGGTGGCTATCCCAGGAGAGTGTTTACTAACTCAGCGCTCTTCTCTCTCGCTCCAGCCTCATGGCTCAGTCCTCCACATGCTACCCACCATTGGCATCAACCCTCTTCTCATTGCCAGTTGTTTTCAACAGGATGAATTGCATCATTTTCTTTCTTCCACTCTCTCTGACCCACAAAGAACAAGTTCTCTCCTTGACCACAGGGTCCACATTCACATTTCCTGAAGCCTCCTTGACTACTTCCATAGATTCTCCTCATTCTCTAATGAGAGCTGCTCTAACCATGCAGAATCACGACTGGAGAGTAAATGAGATTATGTTCTAAATTGCAGGTGCTGAAGTGAACCTCCCACAGGTGTGAGGCAGGTAAAGAAAGTGAATGAGGCTTCCAGGTGGGTCTTGTCATAGGACTGGAGAACAGGGGACTCTCTAGAGACAGCATCACTATTAATCTTCAACTGACTTTTTTCTTGTGGAAGTGGAGGGCCATTAGATTCTGCTATTTCTTTTCTTTTTTTCCTATGCATACCTCTGTTTATTACAGCATTATTTACAATAGCAAGGAGACAGAAGCAAACCAAGAAGTCAGCCATTTGAATTTTCATGTAGAACAGCCATAATCAGTTATTTCATAATGTAAATAAAAATGTCTGTGGACAAAATCTGGCTAGTCCTCTCTTTATGTTATGTTTGTTATCCTAAACCAACTTTAAATTACTTGAAGATTGACCCCTATCATGTGCTCACGTATCAGCTTTCCGTGCCACGTTCTGTTCAGAACTAGAGGGGTTTTTTTGGGGGGGTCATTTTGTCACCTCCAAGTTTGATCTTGCTTACCCAAACCCTACAATGACATACTACATGTTTCTTCAAAATTTACCTAAAACACCTTCGTTTACTTCTTTATTTAAGTGATAAGAGACTGGAGCTCTGGGGCAAGTAGATGATTTTTTATTAAAAGGGTAAAAAAATAAGATGCTGAAAAACTAGCTAGAATGTTTCCCCCAGCACGATCTTGACCTTCACAAACAGGAAGAGAGTAAATTAGTTACACATACCTGGCCTATGTCAAGAGCGGGATTTATACTGCGGCCAACATCCATGACAATGTCTGTTCTGATATTCTAGTAATAAACAAAAAGAGATTTATATTTTATTTTACTGAAAACAACTTAGAAGATACTAAAAGTCAGGCTGACCTTGACACAGACTCTCTCTTGGAAAGCCATGATACTTCAGGAGAAAAAATAAGCAAAAATTTCATCATTCCACAAACAAAGGCTTCGAAAGTTATATAAACACTCTTAACTCACTTAGGCACTGGCGTTGCCACCCCCAGTTAGAAACAACAGGAGAACAATATATACTTGACTTTATTTCAAGATGAATTATGCAACAAAGTGAGTTTAATCCACTCTGACAGACAGAAGACACAGCAAACAGAAAACAGTTTTGATCCACATGGTCCTTGTGAGCAAAACTCTGAGGATATCACACAACCCCACATTCACAGACCCAGCGTCCGAAGGGTGTTAACTGAACCATGGGCCTCACAGTCCTCTGTGGCGGGGAAGGGATTCTGAAGTGCCATTTGCTGTTTCAGAGCTTTCTCTTTTAGAATAGAGAAGAGGTCAATCTGATAACAAACTTTGGTGACCCAGAGTTCTTAAGAGGATGCCTATAAATAGAAACTGGCATCTGATTACAGCCACCCAAGGGATGTAATCACAGAGGTGCTTCAAGATACCAAGTTGGGGCAGATTCTCACTGGACTGGTAGCTTGGCAGCATGACATCTGTGAGGTTGTACTACATACACCACCATTCTGCTCTACAGAATTGATCACACAAACCAATCCTGATGCAATGTAGGCTGCAAATACTAGGAGGCAAGACCACTGCAGGACACAGTTCCTTTTAATGTATTATTATAGATAGTGGCTAGAGGGGGCTCTGGTGGCCTAGTAGCAAGAAGCGGTGCTGCAATCCCAAAAGCACAGAGTTCGAGGCCACCGGCTGCTCCATGGGAGAAGGATGGGAAATCTTCCTGTGTGATTAACTCCATCTGAAAACCTGCCAGAGAGTCAGCTGTGGGTTAGTTCCAATTCGATGATACACAACAACAACAGTGGGTAGTTGGTAGCTTAGTTTGTCAACAAAAGGCCCTGGAGAAACTGTAAATCCTTGAAATGTGTGTGTGTGGGGTGTGTGTGTGTGTGTGTGTGTTGCATGTGTACCCCCTTAGAAAACTCTCAAAAAATATTAAGATGCTTTGAAACCATCATAAAAGCAAGGCCTGACTAGATACAAAGCTGGCCGTCTCTGTCCTGTGGTGCCCATGGCTCACACGTTTAATGAATGCCTTCGAGAATGTCGTGTGACCACATTTCACAAAGAGCACCAACAGGTTCCGTAGAAGTCCTTTAGGCTGGGTTTCTTCTTCCAGTATCTCCTTTCCAGATTTCATTTAAAAGGGTCTGAGAAATAAGAGTGGCCCACAGCTGTTGCCCACAGAAGCCGCCATACCACCAAGGCAATTGCTGAGCTTCTATTTCCTTCGGCAGATACAGAGAAATTATCTTAAGGCAGGGCTGCTACACCCAACTCTCATCAGACCAATGGAATGTGTGGCGTTGAGCTGTATCTTAGGTATGACTTGAAAACTTTTCCAGTTGACACTGACCTTATGATTACCAGTCAGGCAATCTATTTCAACTTCAGAACAGGCAGCGCCATACACAAAATATTCGAAGGGATGGCCTTTGCTTTTTTCCCAATCCATGTTGGACTCATAACCCCTGCAGGAAACAGAGTTCTTTAGAAGTGCTGCTAAGCGATCAGATCCCTAGTCCCAGACCCATGAAGAGCTGTACTCAAGTTGTATGTACAGCAAAGCAAACCAGAGGGAGGCACCTGCATGATGCCAGTGCTAGAGCAAAAAGTTGGGTTGATTAAGTATTTATTTCGTTCTTATCAAACTTCACTTGTTTGATAAAGACATCCAATTACTAGTAACCAATGACTTGATGCTTATCTACTTTGTTGTTGCTGCTGCTATTTGCAATTTTGACAGACATTTATTTTGTTCTTTCTATTAGCATTATTAGGCTGTCTTTCATTGGTTTTGTTCAGACATTCCTTTAGGTCATATAGCCCTGGTGCACAAGTTGCCGTGAGGCTGAACACTGTGACACTAACGTGTCAAATGCATTAATGGTTGGTTACCCAATGTGGACAGAGAGTGGGGTGGAGCTCCCTGATTAAAACAAGCTTAGAAGGAGGAGTGGCATCCACTATCGTACTAGCTTGCCTCCGGAAACCCTGTGAACCCGGAGAGAGGATGAGAGACACCCAAGCATTGAGGACTCTCCTTTATAGGGTTGCTATGAGTCGCCTGCGACTCGACAGCACTTAACAAACATTAGCCATTATTATAAAGAACATTTATTTGCTAATTCTTATATTCTATTGGATCATTTGATCATAATATGGGATCATATGATCCTATCATCATTGGAGTCCCTAGTAAGATCATCAGATTTGGGAAATCCAACCTACATTTTACATAAGACACTATTTCAAAGATGCTCACTTTCCTGTTCCATCTACCTTCCTGGTTCCAGGATTCAGTCTCTGCCTCGGGGACCAGGGCCCACAACGTCCATTCCTTGGAACTCCTCTGGTCTCTCACCATCAGGCCCCTAGGTCAGCTCTCGTTCCTAAATCTTTTCTAATGATACCAAATGCATATCACGGGCAGGAAGAGAAGTACCGGCCAGTAATGAGTTAGAGCACTCTGTCCCTCTTTGCTCTGCTTCCCAGCTTGGGGATGATCATTAAAAAAACCCCTGCACCATTTATACTCATGCTTATTCCTGACAACCAGCCAGTGACGAGGACGCCTGCAAAAACTGACAGGGTGACAAAGCCAGGAAAGGGTATCCACACTGCTCTGCTCTGTAATGCCATCTAGTACCGATGACAGGAATTTGATAGATTGTTTTCCAAAGGATGTGATTTTCAGCTGTGCCACATTTGGACATTATTACTGTCAATGTGAGTTAACAAGTTGCTGCAAATGTATTGTTCCATGCCTATCTAGAAGATGCAAAGTGGTGCTTATCTTATTATGTATTCCATTTGCTTTTCCCTAACTTTGTTCTTTAACTCAAAGAGCCGTCACTGTGTGTTCCAAGCACTAAACCCCAAAGAACCCTCAAGTATCTTCCAATATGGTCTGAATTACCAAGTCAGCTGAATTTTATTTGCATGCTTATTGTAACTAAGAAATATACTTCTGAACACTTGGATTAACTACCAAATAAATGTTCTTCATAATAATGGCTAATAGAATAATATCTACTCAAATTGCAAACAGAACTGAAATGCTTCCACAACGTTCCAAGATATCTACACCAAGATATGTAGTGTGTGATTGAAAGCATGACTTACCTGAAGTAGCCAGTGGCTGAAAGACTAATGCTTTCATCAAAAGCAGCATTGGCCTGAAAAGGAAGAGCATACCCAGTGAAACAAGGATGCTTCAAGAAAAATCAATCACCTGAGACTTAAGTTTTCGTTTTACTCTGTGCTAAGTAAAGCAATCAGTAGTAATAACTGAAGACAAGATTAATTTATTCAGTTCCGCATTCTCCATTTCTGCAGGCATTAACGGTACATGACTTGTAGTAAGAGCTTTGGCTCAATGCGTGTAATTATAATAAATGTCTTCTGTGGTCCACTGCACTTGCAGACTGGACGCCAGTGTTCTCTGCTTATGAGGAATTTCACTTAGCCATCTAGAAAGGCTTAAGCAATTAACATGGGACATCTCAGGAAACAATGGTTGAATGACTGTTTAATTTTAATATCATGTATCCACAACAGTCTTAGGAGAGGAAAATGAGTTTGCTAAATTGTACCATTTATACCAAAAGCTCTCCTGATCGCAGTTGACTACTACACAGCATCCAAGTCCCCAAGTTTAAGGGTGATAAGTGCCAGCATTAGAGAAGAAACTGGGCTTAGTGACAGCATTCCATGGTGGCAGGAAATTAACCCCGTCACACTATCTCTCTCTCCAGCTTAACACTCAGTTTTTCTAAGGGAAGGCACAGGAGGCAGAGGGCAGAAGGCAGAAATAAGTGAGCCCAGAGAGTACTGAGAGCTCCCATAATATGAATTATAGTCCCAGCTCTATCTGGAAACATTTCAAAGTAGGACTCCACAGCTTCTCCTAGACTAGTGTTTCCAAGGTTACAAAGACGGTGCTTGTCAGCACAGCACATAGTCTCAGGCTTCCTTGAGATCTTTCCACACCATCTAGTACTTTATAACCTAGAACTTTGAAAATTTTGCATGTTAATTGTAGAATCTTCTGTCCAGACTGTACACCTATCAAACACATATGGAGGCCCAAGTGGGGAAGGGGTGGGAGCAAAGGGGTGAGGATAGATAGGTGTGAAACCCCAGGGCTGCACAGTTTCATGGGTGGAGGCGGGGAGTGAAGGAAATGGGAAGGATCTGGTGGGGACCTGAAAATATTGGGTAAGGATGGGACAGGTCCAATGGTGATTGATTTTATAAAACATAATGCATGGGAATGATTGTATGAAACACAATAATATGAATGAAGAATAGTGTGAAACACAATGTATACGAACTTTGTGAGCAAAACCAATTAAAAAGAGAAAAGAAGTGATGTGCTATCTCTTTGTTCCATTTAGTGCTTCAGGCACATACCTGACGGCTTGGCTTCCAGTTTCTAAATGGTGCTCACATGATTTGGTTTTGTAGAGCTCTCTAGTGTTATTTTTGCAATTTAGGAACAGCAGAAACACAGGGATGGAAAACAGATTGATAACTATTGTCTAGAAAATGGCTAGATTCCATGGGAAGAAACATTAATCCTTGATTAGACCTCATGTTCTAGACAGAAGAACTCGCTTTGCCCCTTGTTGTCAAAGAATCTGTGGCATTTTTCTGATACAAGAGTTCTTTCATCCTGTTATGATAGGATTTCCATACACCTAGATCTAAAGGGCCTCTTATTTATGTAATATTATACAACTGTGGAACTTTGAGAAAGAGCGATAGTTATAGAAAGGCTTCAGGTCTTTTGTTTATACGGTTGCTATGAATCATGCTCGACTCGACGGCAATCAACACCAACAACAATATCTGCAGTACATTTCAATATGCTCTTTTTGCAGATCCTTGGTGTGCACATATGTCTCTCCCTCTCTCCCTCCTTTTTGTCATAACATAAAACACAGAGAAACAGGGATTCTCACCCAATCCTTCCAGGTGCCCTGAGGATTCTTGCTGATGATAGGTTCAAGGCGTTTTAGCAGAGTTTGACAAGCATCCTAGAAATTAATTTTCAATTAAAATTATGACCATCAAAAGGCAAAGAAAGCATACAGATAAGAATTATATCTATTAAATAAGGCTTATGTCCAATTTCAGATAGCTGGACCAGGATTTGAACCAGCACAATCTGAGATCCGACTTTGTTATAACTCACTACACTGTACTGGGCTCACTCCCGAGCTCACAGCCTACTGCATGGACTCTCAGGTTAGGCACTTCACTCAGTGTCTGGAAACATTTTTGATTGTCACTACTTGGGAGTGCGCGCTTCTGGTAATTCTTTGTTGTGGGTGCATTGTAGGAGATTTCACAACACCTGATAGAGTTCAGGAGTCCTGTGAAATAATCTTACAAACACTGGACAACTCCCTACAACAAAGAACAAACCAGCCCAAAACGTCATCTGCACCCTAATTCAGACACTCTGGTCTAATGGAGAGACAGGCGTGCAAAGAACCATTTCACAAAAGCATGACATGAGCTCTCCTAGATTTTATTTAAGAGGCTCAGGGGATATGGAAAAGGAAGAGCCTAACCCTGTAAAAAGGTTTCACACAGGGTCTCTGTGTGAAGTGTGAGTCTTCATGACCATCTAGGATGGGAGCCAGATTGTTCGGGGCTTGGACAGCATGGCGGGAACTGTTTAAAAGGAATATATGATTAGGCATCATACGTACGACAAAGGCCCAGAATAAGAGGTATCTCACAAAAAGGACTGGAGTGGGGAGGTAACTGTGCAACAGTGATTGGATATTTTTAAAAAGCCAACTTGAACTGGGCGGGGGAGGAGGAAGGGAGGGAAAGGGGGTAAAATGTGTAACAATGAATCAATGAAAATCTAACTTTTCTGTAAACTTTTGTTAAAATCACAATGAAAATTTAAAAAAATTATTGGAAAGAAAAATAATTAGGAACTTACAAAGAAAAACAGCTAGTCAACCAGACCCAACCCTCTTGTCGTCAATGCCACTCATACTAAAGCCTCTTTCCATTTACATGGACCCTACAGGATAGAGAACTGTCAACAGGGTTTCTGAGGTCCCAACTCTTTGTGGAAACAGCCTGATTCCTCATTTTCCCAGAGTGTCTTGTGGGTTTGAACCACAACCTTGATTACTAGCAGCCAAGGAACTGAAGCACCGCGTTAGAGGCCAGTGTTTTGTAACATCATACAATCAGCTTTAACTTGGGGACAGGATCACTCTAACAGAGTGGTGTGAAAGGCCAGGAAGCCGGTGTTAGAGAGACAGAAAGCCAACGGCCTTGGTCTGGCGAAAGGTGGGGTCTAAATAGAACCAATGATGCAAAGGTAGCACTGAAGTGGGAAGATGCAGTGGGATCCTTGGGGTCGAATAAGCAGACCCCACTATTCTGGTGGCCTAGTGGCAAGAAGCTGCACTGCAATCCCAGAGGCGTGTGGTTCGAATCCACCAGATGCTCTGCTGGGAAAGGAGGGACAATCTCCTCCTGTACCAGTCAGATCTGATTTAA